GTCAGAACTGTAATCAAGAGAGACATCCTTCTCAGAAGGGATGTCAACATGCAATGGCCCTGCAATAGCAGGGGCACAGTCATTGCTCCAGAGGAAACCTTCTGGTTTCAAACCCAAGGGAGGGAGATCTGCCTGGGGAGGTGGAACAATTGCAGATTGATACACCTGCATCCAGAGCAAGTTGTTCTGGGAATCAAAGGCCAGAAGTGCCTTCACTGCATCCTTGTCAAGGATGTGCTTGTGGAAGAAGCCACCAACATGTTGCACCTTCCTGGCCCTATGGCCAAAGTAGCTGACCCATGCAGCTAGTTTCCTTCCTTGCAGCCCACTGGCCACAAACTCACATGCAATGGCAATGATGTCCCAGGTGCACTGGCCATCAACAATGCAAAGCACACACTGGAAGCACACAGACATGCTCCAATGGGGCATGGGGAGCTCAGGGATTTTTGCCACACAGGCAAGGTCCTTGAAGCAATCTTCAGAGGAGAAGAGGTCTATGCAGACCTCATAGAACACATTCACATCTCTGCAAACAAATAATTTGTTATCATTGTGGGGACAATGATATTTCAAGAACTTCCAGAGACAGAGGTCCGGGATGTAATAGTGTCCATCCCATGAGCAGCAAATGCCTGCCCCCTTATTGGCATGGGGGTTTATTTCAGTCCCAATTTGACCAATCATCTTGTTATACTTGGACCATAGTAGTCCAAATTGGGGCCCATAGTGGGTTCAGACAGCCCAGTAGGTGTCTGCTGTCTTCAGGCACCTTGCCCAGCAAGGTGGATCATGCTCACAAATAGCACCTAAGTGTCTGGGAGTCATGATATACTCCCAAGGTTTCTCCTTATCATAAGGAGGGAGGCTGTGTGGCAGGTGTTTGCCACCAGTAATTGCAATGCCCATAGGGGCAAATTGTGGTGGCAAGGTGTATGCTGTCTCATCCTTTGGACCAGATGATTTGCCAGACAAGCTGGCAACCACTGCACTATATGTCTTGCCAACAGCAGAGATGCATGAGGAGGATGTAGCAGTCATGAGAGACTGCATCTTCTGCAGGTGCACAGATGGGAGCTTGTCCATGGCAGGACATTTACTGAGGGCAATGGCAGAGACCTTTGCAACCAGAGGAACCCTTGCAACAGTAAAGGTCATTGAGGCAGGCACTGGGGCCTCCTCAATAGGGCTGACATCCATTGGGATGTCATATAAGTCATCTGCCTTGTGAGAGGCAGAAGGAGGAGATGCCTTGCAAGTGGCAGAGGGGAGAGGAGCACAGGGAGGGGGAGGGGGAGGGGCACTGTTGAAAGCAGACAGCTTGCCCTTCAGTTTATCATTCTCAGAACAATGTTCATTGCATTCAATGCAATAATGCAAGACATCTTCCTTCAGATGACTGATCTCATCCTGGAGAGTGTTGCTCTCATCCTGATGACAGGAACCCTGGATCTCCACATCTCTCTGAGTGCAGAGGAGCATATCATGCATGTTGGAGAGCAACTGCTGGGATTCATCCATCCTGCACAACATGCAAGCATTCTCATTGAGAGAACAAGTGAGATTTTTGTTGCTTGTCTTGAGGGAGTCCTTCTGTTAGGGCAACACAGGCTGACTAAGTCTGCTCACCTAAGAGTGCCAAGAGTCT